AAAATCCTAGGATAACATACAGGTAATAATCATTCACTCCAGAGTGTGCTTACTCGCTATGAAGACAATAGCACTCGTTTAAGTCACTAAAAAAGACAACAATTACATCCCCTACCTTCAACGGTATCTGCTAGAAAAACAACGAAGAATAAAAACAGCACCATTGTCGCGCTAGTAAATCGGTCTGGAAGGCGATCTCCATGTACTCATACCAGTAGTAAATACAAGTTTTTATTTACTCATGGTGCCCTTTAACCAACATGACTCGTCCATACACGTTAAAATGACTGGAGCCTGAACAGGATATTTTTGGGAACTAAAAGAGAGAAGCTTGTCCGAGGACTTCGCATGACACGGCTCTAGTCTGTACACCACTTTTATCGATGAACGCGTTGTTGGAGCTCGTGATCTTGGGCAGTTGTCCTTTGCTCTCCTGATTTCTGTCAACCAATTAGGTTCGTCTAAGCCGGAAAGAAGCCATGGTGTCGTATATCACGGAACTGAAGGCCAACTTTGAGCCAAAGTTGTACAAATTCCATTGTCACTACACGAAGATTTCCGAGACAAGTTTTAGTGAGGGACGTTTTGTTTCGCGGTAGGACAGTCCCATCCTGATAGTGTGTAAGTGTTTAAGTTGCGTGAAGCGTTTTCAGCTCAAAGAGTTGATGTTCTGTATAAAATCTTTAAACCAGGAATGTACATTTTAAGAACAATAGAAACCCCGTGACGAATATTTGGGTTTCAGGGCATAACACAATTCCCCCTTATCCCCACCCCACTGCGAAAGGAAATCCAAAGGGAAATAGTTACAATTCACAGCTGATACAAAGAAACGAGACAAAGGCAAACGCTTTGTATCCATTTTCCTCAATTCCCCTCATTTGGATACTGATTTTTCTCTACTCAGGGAAAGAAAAGGCTCTGGGATTCGCGATAAAACAGCGACCAGCTGAAGCGTATAAATCCAGAAACTGCGAATTCTTTAACTCGAGTGAGTAGTACCAATTTATCCGTTTTCTATCATCAGTAAAAGGTCTGCAATTTTCGTCTGCCACCACTCCCTTTTCCCATAACTCGACCCAACCGCAAGAGGGCCAATTGATTGGCAGATGCAAAGTGCAAATGGTAAAAGTCAAGACTGTCCAAAGGTGAAAAAACAAACAAACAAAAAAATGTCAGGTGAAAACCATTTCGGCAGGAACATTACGTAATTCACCGTTACATCATCTGGCCACTCCCTCAATTTATTTCTTCTATGAGACAGATTATATAATATTCTCCTAATATAGATAGAAATATACTTAAGTCACTATTTGATATTATATTTTCACTTGCTTGACGGAAGGAGATCCAATTTCCTGTGTTAAATGATACAAATTGGATTCATGTTGTAAAATCTTTTTTTTTTCGGATGACATGGTTTGATAAGTAAATTTCCATCGACGAATATTTTTTTCTTCCAATCAATACAAATTTAAAAGCAAGTATTTGTATGATTGGCAAAAAAGTTTTACAGTTGAAAAAGAAAAAAAAAATAGTCAGCTACACAATAGGACTTCGTACCTTCAAAGATCAGGAGGAAACACTTGTCATTTTCGAACGATATTTAAATAATACTTGAGTAGAAATGAAACAAAGTCAACATGATGTTCAAAGGTAACAAAATATCAAATTTATCCACATCGCCTTGGGCGTTCTGTGGTCACACTTCATGAAGTTACAAATATTTCAAATAAACCTCAGGTGTAGCTAATACTTGGTACGTAAGTGCATTAAAACTCCAACTATGAAGCGCCAGTACATCTAGATTAAAAAAAGAAGTGTTTTGGTATTTAAGGAGCGCGTAAATAAGACAGAAATACCTAAAGAAAGTGGCACAGAAAAGGGAAAATTCTTACCTAGGAGGACACCAAAATTTTTCCGGTCAAAAATGAAAGACTACCAGAAATTCTTTAAAAACGAGTCTTAACTTGTAAATGTTACAAATGTGGTTTTCCAGTTATCACATTTCTTTACAGATTATATATCTCATGCGCATGTTACCCTTTACACCCCGAGATCAGTATGCATATTCTCCATACTGTTCTCTATACGTTTCCCATGGTTCTTACAATGAGAATTTGTTTAATAATCAAGAGCTTCTCATCTTTGAGGTCTTTTCCTTGATTCTCTCAGGGTTACTTCATCTACTATTTTAATTCACCGCGTAAAAAGTTTCACATTACAATTTTCTTTAAGTAGAATGTATCTTTTTCGCTCCATTTGCTTTTGTCCTTAAAATAATTCTTTATTCTTTTACTTTGTTGTTCACTTTCTTGCAATTGTGGATGGATTACGTAACCCACATTTCACAAGGGACATATTGATCTTGTGTTACAGAACTTGATTCCCCACTGACAGAGACGAGCTCGTGATATGACTTTGAACACTTGGCGCTTCGAGAAGGTTATTGATCAAGCTCGCGGCAATAACGGATGGACAGGAGTTTGATTTTTTAGTTTTTACAGAACGAACAAAAAAATATACATACATCCAGCTATCTTTGCCTGTACCCATATTAATCTCCGACTCCTTCTTTGTTTCTTTTGTCCTTTTTTTTTTTATATATATATTTTTTTATTTAACAGAGGAGCCTTGTAACAAGTACAGTACTCAGGGGTCCAAAACATCATGTGATGTGATGTCCCCTCATTTGTTTTGTTTTGTTTTTTTTTCATCAACTGCACTAGGAGAAGCCTAAAAACATCATGTGATGTTTTGTCCTTTGCTATTTTTTTTTAATTAATTTTTTTTTCATCAACTGCACTAGGAGAAGCCTAGATTAATATTTTGCTTCATGGAATGAAACAACCTAGAGTTAACTTTTTCTCTTGTTTTTTTAATTGCTTGTCATCCATCGGAGAATTCCAGCCAGATTCTAGGATAATAATCTGAAAAAGAAAAGCAATCAATAGAGGCGTAAGACTTATGTAATAAATTATTCTCTTTATGGTTAAGGTTTTTTAGCCTGGAGACATTCAGAGTTACAGGTGTCTTCAGTTAATAACTGATCTGACGGCAATTCCTATCAAAAACAAACTGAATCATCAGTTGTCTCCAGAGGTTATCTTACAAACGCAATGTTCAGTGGGTCATATTTACTAAATTTACACATGTGATGCATTCATTGTAAAAAACTAGCCCGTCCCACGCGTTCACGGAGTAAAACGAAGCGCGATAGGACAGTAAGTGAGAAAAAACGAGGGGGTTTGGGTCGGGTCGCGTAATATTCTGTACCCAAACCGACCCAAACCTCTCTCGCTTTATCACTCCTCCACCAATATCGCGCCTTACTTTCTCTATTTCGCTCCGCTTTCCTAACTGAACGCTTGGAAAAGGCTATGTAAATATGGTTTCACCTAAAAATCACGTTACCTTGCATTGATGTGCATAGTAGTCTTCTGAGATTGTTTAACTTTCATGTCTGAAAACAGAATAGCAAACGGTGATTGCATAAAATGTCACAGATATGCGATAATAATCCATTAATTACATTAGCTCCTTTACTCCCAAGGTGCAAATATCAATTCTCTGCATAGTTTTTCACACATTTCATATAGATTTGGCTCTGAGAATTTGGCGTTAGATCAAACAATATTCCTTAGTTAGTAAGTCTATTTTTTATCATCACCCTTGTGCTTGAAAAAGTTCTGACCTTGAAACCATAAACGAGAAATTCTTCTGGGCACTCACTGGAATGAAAGGGTAAACAGGATGGTTTGCTCGCTCAGAGAGAGGTTCAGAGTTAAAGGTGTCTTCAGTTAATAACTGATCTGACGGCAATTCCTATCAAAGAGTGACTCATCATTCCAACCTCTGAGAAAGCTGCTTACGTGGGATTTCGTTACACTCCCTTTGACTGCATCCTATTGAAAGGTTGCCTCCCTACCAGATCATCCATATCACGACACTTTTGATCAATCAACGATAACAAGTTCTCACCAGCTTTACCAGTTCGCCCCCAAATCTTCAACTGGTTTCGTTACCGTAATAGGTGTTCCTCCTTAGGGGCAGGGGAAAAAATGAGTCAAGAGTTAAGATCTGGAAATGTCGGATTCGTCAGAAAAGTAACACGTTCTGCCCCGAAGAAACGAGTTGAAAGATTGGAGGCGAAATGGTAAAAGAGCGAACTTGTTGTATTTATTTTGGCGAACTCGCCGATGTTGGACGAACTAATAGGGGGCGACCTTGCTATGAGGCGAAACCTGTAGATACCAATTTTTAAGCATAAAAAAGGGCTCAAAACACTTCCCCCAGTTCCCCCTGTACAGCCCTTTGTATAGCAAATCTACTCACCCTCCTTCTGTTTAAATAGCTGCAGCAACCGGCTATATTCTTGCGAATTTTGGAGCCAGCGTACCCAACCCTACATGAAAAAAAAAAAACCAAAAAAGGCCTCAAACTAGAACCGATTTAAGAGCAACTGAACTCACTGAAACAAAGAAAAATGCACCTCGACCTTACCATGTTCAGTCAATCAGTACAATCCACCTCAGAGAGGATTCCCCAACACAAAACTGCGCGCGTCTTTGACTTCGGGCACTTAATTTGACTTCTCCTCTCCTCTTCATTACAGTTCGAGTAGAAAAGTTGAGAGTATCCAGCAGATGACCATCTCAGTGTTGTCTGCTTCACAAACTGACGCTTGCACGCTGCGGTTTAGGTCACCGCCAAAATAAGGGACGCGTTAAAAATAGATGCAAACCAAGAGATTGTAAAGTTTTGCGCCAGCAAATTTCCCAAGAAGAACAAACCGCAACGTTCTCTATGTGTAGCTCTCACAAAATAAATACAACTTCGAAAAGCTTTGTTGTTTACATACGTTTCCCGATAACTGCATCACTTTTTATATATAGTAATAGCCAAACCTTTCAAAAGGTTCAATTTGAAATGCAGCTGCAGACCAAAACAGTTCCAGGCGCGCGCATCCTCGCAGTTTTACCATACAAATTGTACATAAGTTTCAAATATGAACAATTATTTATTCGTTAAAACCTAATTACAACGTGATCTGTGTGCATGATTTTGTTCATTCAACCGTCAGATTCATCGTCGTCAGATTCATTTTCCACTTCGATCTCATTTTCATTGTCACTTTCCTCTTCCGTGTCATTTTCTTCTTCATTTTCATCCCAATTTTCCTGGAAGAAAAAAACATGACGGCTGATCGTCATTTAAGAAAGGCTTCACTGTGTCGACAGAGCTTCACTCAATGAGAAAAATCTGAATGACCTCAACAAATGCACAGCGAAACAAAAGAGAAATATTTTTTTGGTTCCCAAATTCACCTCATAGCAGGAATGCTTCTTTAAAAATAACTAAAAGATATTTCAGTTTTCTACGGTTTTACCGGTTAAATACGACAATTCATAAATCTGTTTCATCTAATAGTTCGTCAATTAAAATCACATTCAACTCTTGATTGACAAGTGCGGCTAATTTGTTGCTCCGCTTTCCGTCCGCATTTTTTTGCCCTGTTCCAAACAGCAACGCTAAACTGAAACGATACGAGCGCACGTTCTACATTAACTTTATTATAAATCAGAGAACTTACATCAGACTCCGAGTGTTCAACCTCAATAGGTACAAGCGGTTCCTCATCTGAATCTAAAGAAAAGGAAAAAGTTGTGATATAAAATGTGCAAGAAATAAAGTGTTACACTACGTATGTAACAATAAAACTTGTGTTTTTTAACAAAAAACTTGCACACGATGCAAAATACAGAATCTAATAAACCTCGGGTGAACATGCAGACAGAAGGAGAGCCGTCAATCACATGCAGTGCGATTCTAAGATCATGGCAGAAGATAACATACCTTCCTCTTGATACACAACAGTGGGTTCAACATGCTCCTCTTCCTCTTGATTGTTTTGACTTTGAGAGTCCACCTTTGAATGGTAGAGCAATAATAATACCATTACCATCAAATCAACAACAACAATAACAACTACAACAAAACAGATGACGCAATTTTCAATTGAGTGTCGAAAGTAAGCCATTACATTACATTACATTACTTCACAATGCGATTGGTCCACGAAACTCGTGCCACCTTCGTTACCAATCAGATTCAAATCTAACACCAATCGCGCCTTGGTTGCTCGAGTTTTCCCGCGCTTTGAGCGGTTTGCTGGTTGCAATTTTGAGCCTCGTAGTGACGTTTTCCTTTGCTCTGATAACTCTACTCTTCGTTTCACGACCGTTAGTCGAGATGCTCTCGAAAGTTTTAACCCTTCTTCCCAGAGACATTCAGAGTAAAAGGTGTCTTCAGTTAATAACTGATCTGACGGCAATTCCTATCAAAGACTAACTCATCATTTACGTCTCTGGAGAGCAGGTTACTATATATCGTGATCTACCCGATCAGCATAACGCTTTCCTTGCAATTTTTGCGCGGAAAATGGGCGTATAGCTAGCAAAAACTGACACATGCCCTAGGTTTGACCGTTATTTTACTCTATCCAGATGTGACCAAGGCCTATAACCACTGCATCATCCATGCTCCTCTAACTCTATATAGAACACAATCTACTCCATGTTCATGCATTGCACATTACCTGCGACAGCATCAGATCCAAGCGCCCTTGTAGTTTACACAATTTACTAAAAACACTGACACGTGATTCTAACATGGCATATAATCCACTGAGGGAATCCACAAGGTCTGGCACCTGAATATCACGCAAAATAAAGTCAATTGTAACCACATATTCAAGTGCCTACTCCTGAAACAAATTTCTTGGGAAAACTTCTAGACTGCGAGCTGCCCCTCCTTTTCGGCGAATTCCATCGCGCAAGTGAAACAAAAAATACCAGGGGGAAAAAATTTATGTCAGCGCGCCGTACATAACGCTGGGAGTGAGCCGCACGGAAAAGTAACCTCCCTCCAGAGTTCCGCACATAAGCCTTTTTTTTTTTTTTTCCACTGATTACTTGGACTCGCTCGACGGACTTCGCTGAAAAGAGCGCCTGCTCGTGGTCTTCTTCTTTTCAAATTCAGATTGCTCGACACAATATACATGCAACATGACTAGTTTACTCTCACGAGACAGCCATTGTAGCTGAGGGACGCTTCAAGAATTTTCCGAGGAAACGATTTGGTTTGCGAAGCAGCGCACTAGCGTTCAACAGAGCACTTCACGCACCGCTTCCGTTACTTTCGAAAGACTGTAGTACCTATAATTCCCATAAAAAATCGTCGGGAATTCTTGAAAATTCAACAGATAAAAGGATTGCTTTAAAAATTGAATAGTTCTTTTACCTTTCGTGCTTAAAATAAGGAAGAAATAAGAGCAAAAAGTCCTCTGGTAAACTTGCAAACCATTATCTTGTACCAAACTTTATAAAGGAGGAGGAAAGAAACAGTTGTGTCCATAAAAATAACTTACCGTCATAAGATATGCCATGTGTGTGCTTAAAATATGTTTGATCCACAACACCAAGCCTTCCCCCCTGAAAATGGAGGCAAAACAGAGAAGAATATTTGGTGGAGACATGTTTTAAGATTGAAACTGTGGTAACATCTATCTCGAGAAATGTTACAGTTGATCTGTGAAGTTAGTTAAACCAACTTTCCGGATAATCAATTTTATAAACTTATGTGTAAAGGGCTATAACATATACACTGCTTTCCTTACCTTCCTGGTGCGGCTTGAATTTTGTGAACAAGCTGAAGTAAAAAACAGAAAATCCATGACGATTTTGTCACAGTACATTTTCACTAACATATTACTCAGACTCTGTCAATTTCTTCCAAAGGAGTTTCTTCTTTATCCTTAGATGCCTTAACATTAAGCCTAGAGATGTTGCATGAATCTCCAAACGCAAGTACCGTCTGTATTACTTACTCCACAGAGGAGCTTTGTGGTCAGCGGTTTATTATGTAATGCAATGTTACATAGAGTGTTCTTTTTCATGGCGACCAAACATTTTATCTTGAATGACCAGTTTATAGCGAGCTTGGAGCCCTGATTGGGCGTCCGTCTGATAGAATTATCGTGCTTTTGTTGACTAACTTAATAGCTCTCGCTGGTTCGTTTTAAACAGTGTACAAAAAGTGAAAAAGTTAAGTAACAAACCTCTCTCAAGAATGGAACTGCGAGATTCACTGGAAGTCTTCTGACTGTATTCTTCATGATTGATTTATTAACACTGCCATGCCATAACACAGTCTTTAAAAAATGAATTTACAAGCATGTTAAAGACAATACTATAATTTACATCAATAGGAGGGCTTTAAAATGATAAGAACAAGCTATTTTGAGTCCTTAAATTCCGTATAAAAATGCTAATGTTCGCTATGCTCTTGGGATCATAAACGAGATTTATCAACATGTTAGAGGCAGCCGCATTATTCGTTGTCACGCAGTGTGGGAAAAACCTTCGTTGATGGAGCAGACAAAAGCAAATCATCAGAACACTGACTGCAACTAGAGTTTGGTTAAAGAGTTACCATGTCGGAAAGATATTGAGGGGCTAAACTCTTTCACTTTAAACCCTAAGATCAGTGCGTATATTCTCCATACTGTTCTCTAAACATCTCCTAAGGGGCTCACAAGGAGAATTTGTTTGACAACCAAGAGCTTATTTAATTGGTGATCATTTCCTGGAATCTCGTAACTTTAATGTTTGATTCACGGGTGTTATTGAAAGGAGAACTTAGATACTAGTCATTCTTAAGTTTCAAAGGGTTACAGGACTATCCAAGGAAACAATCTTCATATTAGCTTCAGTTGGAGATTCCAGTGACATGCAGGTAGAGCACATTAATGAGCTTAATCACTGTGTGGGCTGTTTTCACTGTACATGTATGCAATATTTCACAATATCTGACCTCCATTAGAGAGTTATCTTGACTATGAAGAGCTTGTATGAGCATCTGGGCCAATGAATCAGCCGTGGGGCGGTCACTTCCTCTTTTCCTAAACAAAAAAAAATACAGCATAACTTTTCAGAACACTGTCAAACATTGATCTGTGGAATATAACCTTAAGAAAAGAGGTCTTTATAGAACAGGGATGCCACATCAAACTGCAAAAGGCCAGGGCAACCAACACGGTACTAGGGTTGCACAGTTCAAATGAACACTTCTGTCAACTCAAATGGTTTTTTTTAATGAAGCAGTCAAAATCAATGTGGAAAATACCTTGATGTCTCAGCAGCTTCAGCATTGATTGCCTTCAGTCTGTCCTCAATACTCTGAAAAAAGATTAATAAAATATGTATGTGGCTAATTCTAAAGTTGGATTTTTCTATCCACATCCACAAATCTTGCATCTTGCTGCTAAAGCAACTTGACAATTAGTAAGAGCTTCCAAACATTGTTTTGCAAAAGTTTCAAAGGTAAATGCTAACCTGTTCTTCGAGAGATTCCTTTTTTTCATGTTCAGCTTTTCGCTTCAACTTGCTCCTTCCCTCATCCAACACCATGGCAGGAGTTGCCCGTGCCATGTTTCCAGGACCTAGAGTTGTCACTTCTGAAGATGGTGCCTTCCCTTTGTCGATTTGAAAAGGTTCATGAGCACCATCATTGAGAAGAAGATTTGAAGAGCTCTCCCTTACAAGATGAGTGTGTTCCTCCATTGTTGAATAAGCCTAAAGGAGAGCAAAACAGCAAAGAAGGGGAATTGATATTTTCAAACAAACTCAATGAGAGAAAACAATCTGAAAGACAAAAATATGCCATCAGAAAAAGGGATGGAAGGGGGTCTTACAATCAGAACCTATAGGTGTGGGGGTGGGGGGGGGGGAGGGGAAGAGGATTTTAAGAATTATACATAAAACCTTAGATACAGTCAAAGGCTTGGGTTTTGGAGTAACAGATCACATATTGGAATCATCTTGGCCAAAGTGATTCTAGAAAGATCTTTATTGGTGAAAAGGACTTGTGCTTCGACAACCACTCAAGCAGAGGTATCAGAATACACAAAGTACTCACCAGAGTCTCAAACTGTGGTTTGAGTGTTGATCCATAAGCAATCAATGCTTCAGGTTCTCCTTCAGACAACAAGCGCACACACAGTACAGGTATAGGAGGTTGAGTTCCATCCTAAAAGACAAGGCAGATATTGAATGTATATCATCAACAGAAAACACTACAGCTAACATACACATTTGGGATCAATATCAGTATCTGGGCAACTGCCCACCTACCCCTCCCCTAACACAACAACAATCTATTGATAACAAGTCAGGGTTAAAAGTCAGGGTTAATGTTGGGTTAGGGGAGGGGTAGGTGGGCAGTTGTCCAGACACTGGTATTGATCCCACATTTGTACACTGGGAGCCAGAAAACTAAAGAACAATCTCGCACAATACTGACAAGACAGCTGGGCTAAATGTCCTTGATTTTAAACTTAGGACAAGATGTCCTACTTTTTTTTGTCCCTTCTGCCCCTTTCAAAGTGGTTCAATGTGTTGTCGTTGTTTTTTATCGAAAAAGGTCTCTTGGTATACTTAATTGAAAAATTGAGGAAGGGGAAAAGAGTTTTACTTTTCTAAATGTCAGGTAGTAATGTTTGGAGCAACAACTGAGGAAAAAGCTGTCTCAACAGGTTTTTTCCCCAATTACAGCACATCATGCAGACTTAACAACTCTACAAGTAAATTGAGCAGTGTCTTTGAGTTTGCACTCCATTTTTAATTGGAGTTTCTTTCCTAGAACCAATCATTGGAGAATATTCCATCATCCATCTACCAGATAATATTCCCAACATGTGCAAATACACTAGTATTTCTCATTTATAATTATAAGTCGACAAACTTCTATAAATACAGCAGTAGTGTTACATACTTAACCAAGAAAGCAAAGGTACCTTTTTTTCTGAAGATGTTAGTTGAATAGTCCTTTTGGGCCTCAATGGCCTCTTACCACCACTAAATAAATCAATAATATATAGATTTAGCCAAGCCTAAAAGCAGAGCTTGCATTTTTTTTTCCTGCAACACTCAAGGGCACAATGCCTTGCCCCGGCTAGGAGTAGAACCCGGGTTGTGCAACTCAAAGCCCAGTGCACTGACCACTGGACTGCTGGACAAAGCTGTGGCGTTGGCATGCCCATGGTACAGTAGACCACACATGTTAAAAGTAGCACCTTGTATGGTCATATGGTTGTATGGTCGTAAGTCCAAATTTTTTCAGCTTGATGGGTTACTATTACTACTACCATTTTGTATAATTATGGGGCTACGCTCTGCGAGCTCTGCTATAAATTGAATTTAGGGTTACCAGTAAGTCACTTTCCAGATCTTTATTTGAACACCAAGATGATAAGATGACAAGCTGGAGCTACTATGTAATCCACATCTCTGTCCCATGAAGGGAATAGGAGTATTTATACTCCCCCTGGATACAATGTTAGTCCATCACAAGCGACTTCTCCCTCTGTGCCCCCAAACACTACATATCGTTAATGTAGGCTACCCTTACAGCTCACTGGTACCAATTAATCCTCTAAGTGGAGAAAGGCACTGTCAAGAACACAACACAAGGACCTGACTTAGACCCAGACCTCTTGACTTGAGCCCAGCATGCTACCCACAAGGCCACTGTGTCTCACAGTAATAACAAGTCATGATTCCAGAAAATTACTTTGCAAAATTAATTCGTTAAAAGTCAAACCCGGGTGCAAATATGGAATAGTTAGTCAGCGTTCTTTCAAGGGGCCACCCTCCCAAAGAAACAAGGTGTCTGTTAACAGAGCTTGAACACTCAAATAACTGTATATCAACACTGTACTCCAAAGAGAAAAAAACACTTTTGGGATAACTTACCCATTGAGTGAATATTCAAAAATATGTAGCTGACCATCTTTTGAGGCAATAGCAATGTGAATTGGCTGAGGATAAAAATATGGTGGAATAACATCAGATGCATGTACACATATATATGTTTGTTATCTGTTCTTTTGGATATATGAAGCTGTAATCTACTTCTTCACATCAATTTCTTTCTTAAGAAAAGTTGATTCTTGGTAATGTGTTCTGTATTGTTGTTACAAATACCTTGTTTCTGTTACTTTGTCGTATAACATCCACTGCTATTGGCTCATCTGTGATTGAAAGTGAGACTAGTGCATTTTTTTCCGGCGAGTCTAAGTTGACATACCTGTGACAGAAAAACACATACAATTCTGTTAGCTGATGAAAGAGTGGAAGAGAAAGAGAAGCTGTTGTTAAGAGCTTGCAGTCAGCCAAGAAGAAGAGAATTTTGCTACAGCAGCAGCCTTCAATTTGAGGTTAGAAAAATTCCTGATCTTAGTTTGCGTCCGGTATTCCTTGTGCTTACCATATGTTCATTAATCTATCCTGCTCTGCTCCTGAAATAAAGTACTGGCCACTGATACCATTATTTGGAATATGATTTGCATTTGAATCATGTGACAAGTTACTTGGGATGAACTGGAGATGTGTTACTGGAGATGCATGACCAGTAAATTTCTACAAAGAAAGAAACAAAATGGCAACATTAAGAATGGACACATTATGATACACCACAAAGTTCACCTTTTCAGGGTTTTTTGGCTTCTCTATTTGTCAAACTTGAGACATGGTTGTGAAGAGATCTAGAAGCACATGAAGATCCATTAAGAAAAATTATTTTTAACACCATCTTACCATTTGCTTCAACACTTAGCCCTTTCACTCCCATGAGTGACCAAGACAGAATTTCTCCTTATAATATCAATACAATATCAAACAGACAAGTGATGAGAATATAGGAAAATACCAAATAGGGGATAATAAGTTGATCCAATATCAAATTCTCCAAACTAACACCACAAGAACTCTATGGCAGATAGTTAGGAGAATTACTAATGAGATCTTAAGAATCACAGAGATAACAAGTACCCAAAGAGTGTGCAATGTTTTGAGCGCACAAAAAGAGAAAAAGAGGGAAGAGGAGAGGGAGAAGAGAAAACTTGTTTGGTTTTGCTCAACCTCAATGTCAGATAGAGTTCCTTTGTTACCTTAAGAGCTTCTTTTGTCTCCAGGTCCCAAAGTTTAATACTTCTACCAGCCGAGAGAAGAGTACTTCCTTTTGGACCAAGTCGCATACACCTTACACCATGTTTATCTGCTTTCCATTTACTGTCGAGAACAAGATTGAGTAACATGAAGATTTATGAAAATTTGTAAAAATATTAGAACATACTTTGTATATGTAAATCAATAAATGCTATGCAGGGTTGCTTATGCAAAATAACATAAGAAAAGGGTTAACCCTTTTAGTCCCACTAGTGACCAGGAGAGAATTTCTCCTTACTTTATCAGTATGCTATTAAACAGACAAGTAATGAGAATAAAGAAAAATATCAATTAGGGGATTATTGGTTGATCCAATTCCCAATTCTCCCAAGTAACATCACATGAATTGTGTGGCAGACAGTAAGGAGAATTACTTGCAAAATCTTGGGAGTTGAAGGGTTAAATTATCTAGCGGAAAGGTAAATCGTGATAAAGGTTAATATAAAAACTCACCATTTTCTCTGCCCATTTTCTGTATTCCACTCAGTTATATGTTTATCATTTGAACAAGAAAACAATGTGCCATCATCGTCACTCCAACACAGGTCATTAACTCTACTGTCATGTCCGCCCTCCTTTAAAAGATTATAATAGATATAAACATTACTATCCATAGAAAACACTCAACCTTTCCTTCACCTTTTGATATTTAACAAAATAGCTGACTTATTGTTGAGAAAGCAACATTCTGGATTGGCATCACTTGCCATTTTATCCCTTAAATTTTGCCCCTTCTCCCTGCTGGACAATTCAATGTTGCATTTTGTTTTATGTGATTGCACAAAATTTAATGGGGAAAGGGAGGGGGGGGAGTTGTAGCCAGCTGCAGCTCATTTTAAATTGCTGTGTGACTCTAACATGCATGTGTCAACTAATTTTGCCCCTGAATAGAGGAGTAAGTTTCTAGAGAAACTGTGGTGCTGCATTGGTGGGAGAGTATAGCAGGTAATTTAGTGTTAACAACTGAGTTGAAAACATAAATTAGCCAGTGGCTAATTTATGTTTTCAACTCAGTTGTTAACACTAAATTACCAAGTTTTGTCCTTGTTTATTTCCATAACTTCTTGAACCTGGAAAATCACACAACCTGACCAAACTGTTCATTTGTGATTACTTTTCAGTTCAATTATCTTCCAGTATTAGGAATAATGCTGTAGACAGTTGCAGGAGATTATGCAGTTTCAAAAAATAAGTAACACTTCACTAGATTTGATGACCTCTTGCTTGAGAAATGGAAGTTGCAGTAATGTTGTTTACAAGCCCTTCTTTTGTGGGGCAGGCACTTGGTGTTGAGAAATTGAATGCACTATACAATCAAACCTACCAATTTCTGATCTACTTCCCCAGCAGCCACATTATATAAAAGAACATCGCCTGAAGATGTACCAAGTGCTATTGAATCACTGGCATTTGAACTTGATGACTGTCTTGAAGTCTTTGATTTCTTTCTTCTTTGATTTGTCTATTAAAATAAAAATCAAGTTGTAATGTTCGATCATCAAGAAAGTTGAAGTTCAAACTATGGGTTATAGAACCTCCCCTTTGTAACTGGGCAAAGAAGATGATCTTTGCTAAATCAAGCCGCCATACCAACAGAACCTCTGGATTAACATCTCTATTGAACAAGCAAAAGGGAGCATGCAGAAAGCTAGTTTGGAGGCATTGATTGAACTATAATTCAACAATGCCACCGCAACAAGATTGCCAATTAGAGGAACACACTAGAACTTAAAACTTGAACTGGAACAAAGCAAAGCTTGAGACTGGAAATCAGCAGTAAGGAAGATGGATGTTGACGTTACATGTGAAATGCAAACTTTAGACTGTCTATTTACAATATAACTTACGATAACCAAGGCTGACTAATTGATTTAAATGATATCTGGTGGAGATATAACGACAGTGTATGAATTTCACTGTCCATCATCGCGATAACCACCGTTTCAACATGCGTTTCAACATGCGTTTCAACCAACGCACGGAACAGATCTTTTCACCAATGCGATTCAGGTATTGCCTATTGCAGCAAACGCTTGCATTACAGCTGTTTGCCATACAAAACACTTTAAGTGAACTACAGCGTGACAAATTCACAAATTACGACACAATTTAATGATACCATTATCATCGACAAAAAGTCACTTTACTACATTGCAATTTTTTGTCGAACACTAGATGACAAAGTTTCTCAACAAATTAATTTTCTCAAAAAAAAAGGCTTCATTCTGTACATATTTCAAGCACGTCCAGTTGAAAGAAGCCTTCTAAATACTACAGTAAGTATTACGAACGCGATTTCAGCTCGATGAAAAATATTTGTCGACAGGCATTCGAATTCTCCACATCAAAAACTCACGAATTGGAAACGAAATTGTAATAAATGAGTTCTATGATTGATCCTTAAAACAAAATTCGTGGCAGTACAGAATATCAACACGGTCTTAGCTCGTTAACAACAGCAAACAAGATAATTCTTTTCAAAGAATACTCCGCACACGCACTCTAGGGACCATGCTTGCTTACCACAGATCTCGAAGTTCGACTCCATTTGAGGCAACTACAGGACGAAGAAAGGTGCGATGGTGGAGTATATTCATGCTTTAATGATCCAGCAGTGCAGTCCCATATTTTCAGGCGACCGTCTGGGGTTAACAGTGCTAAAGCACGACCATTATTATCAAAAGCACAACCACAGCCGTCCATATTTCATGATTCCATTTGCACGTGGGGACTAGTGATGTAGTACCCAGACCTCTAGCGAGCGATGTGAAAAAATGGAAGTGAAAGGAAACGAAGAACAGCGCAATATTTAAATTACAGGTTATTCGTGTAGAGCGCAAAGCGGGTAACGGTAACTCATTAAAGGTATAATTAGTTTGGATTTTAATTTCTAAAGGCTGTTGTATAAACTAAACTATCTGAAGTTTTTTCTTGTCAGGCAAAACTGTTGGAAATAAGATAGGGTAATTTAGTGTTATCAACTGAGTTGAAAACGTAAATTGGCCACCGTGAAGAGTTTTAATGGCATGATGATTTTCCAGTCAGAACTCTATTTTGCCGCGATGAATATGAGCCTGTAGATACACAGGGAAGCGCAGTGGCATGAGCCATTTCACGTAATGTGCGCAGAGATTTGTGTGTGTGACACCCCGTAAATCCCCATCTGGGATAGGTCATAGCGCTTGTATGTAGCCAAAGTCTTTTGCAGGGTTGTTTTAGGATAATATTCGAGATTCTTTCCGGAATCCCGTCGGAGTTCGGAAATAATCTGAAGTACTATTTCTCACCTTTTCTTCAGAACTCATTCACAAACTAACATAATGGTATTTGGTGAGGCTTCCTCGCGTGTCATGAACTTCACTTTGATTGGTCAGTGCCTAATCCCGTACCCAGATCTTACCGCTTAGCCAAAACTGCTAGGCCGTGGAAGATCTGGGTACAAAACAAGCTCATAAGCCGGCTGTCAGAAGTAAGTCAAAGTGTCCACAGTTTTCTGACTCTTACAGAATCCAGTGTTTACGTTTGCCACCTTGGGCTTTGAGTTGTGGTTCGTAATCGGCTCTTAATGGTTCTATTTAACCCCTTACACCTAACATCATTATGTAAGTTCTCCACACTGTTCTCTATAAACGTCTTATGTCCTTACAGGGAGAATTTGTCTAAAAATCAAGAGATTCTTAAGTTCGCAATCATTTCCTATATTGTTATTACCTTAATGTTTGATTCAGGGGTATACTTTTGGGAGAAATTAGATGCTTGTCACTCTTAGAGCCCAAGGGGTTGAAATACGTGTTTAAGCTCGGAAGGAAATTCCAAAACGTATAGTAGCTGCTATATGGAACCAATTAGAACGGATGGCCCACAACACAGATCACTGGCGGACTGTTATTGACGGCCTATGTACCAGGATGAGCGATGGGCTTAGATGGATAGATAGTAGCCGCTCAACTGAAAGCCTTCGAGCAACAATTTGTAATGGTAATAGGACTGAGTGGAATCCAGTTCGGTCTGTAATCATACGAGTGATGACAAAATCGGACGACCCCGCAATGGTGTTTATCACGAGTATGATTACAGACCGATTTGGACGACACGAAATCTTATTATCAATTAATCATAAAAATTACAATTTCCGAGGAAAGAAGAACAGCCAAGATATGAAAGAAAGGGAAAATTTGCATAAAAAACTAACAAAGGAGGCGAAAATTGTCGAATGGTTGTGATTGGTTGATTTAAACTACAACTTTGAATGTGATTGGTTGATTTAAACTACAACTGTGAATGTGATTGGCTTATTGAACTATCTGATAACAACTTTGCAAGTGAACCAGTGGAAAATAGGAGTTTTTTGAGCCAATCACAATCGAAGAAATTCTAATTTTTATGATTTTGTGTGATACTGTTAGCTATGATTTACAAAGAAGTCAACTTTTAATAGATCTCATGGGTGAATACCGAGTAGTACTTTCATATGGCTCTGATTCGAAGGTCTGTGGATAAAATCGTTATGGTGACTATTCAAATGACAGTTTTGGAGCAGTACTGTCATGTAGTATTGTGGTATGCTTTACAAGGAGATTCTCACCAATAAGTCGATGATATGTGCATTTGTAAGTGACTTTTCATAATATAACTTTGGAGCAGCACATACATATGGTGCTGTTTTTCTAGCGATACACCCCTTGTACGCATATGTCTAGCCTTTCAAACTGTACAGATTAGTATCGAGCAAAGCCGTCGTGTGCGTTCTTCTTTCAAAATCTTTAACAAGGAATCTTTTGTTCAAGTTCGAACTTATGCACTTTGAGGACTGCGAGGATTAAAACGATGTTCGAAATGTCAGCGGTTGCCAAAGAAGAAAGAAATAGACCACCCGCACTGCAACGCGTTTTCGCGGGTCGCTAATAAGTGCTGATTGTTCGATATCACCTCAGATATCAACCCTTCAGTAATTTAATGAAACGAGCATCTCTTGTCAAATGACTGGTAATGATTTGTTTGACACGTATCTGAGAGATAACCATTGTTGAGTCGATTGCTATTCAAATTCTTTCAATGGAAATTAAATTCCCTGTGAAGTTGTTTACTTAAACTCGCTTTTAAATACAGAGAACATTATGGCAGCTTTTGTAAGGGATCTTTAGTGATCATGTTGCACGTGTTATCAAATTTGCACTCAATCAGCGTTGCTCCGGTTTGTAACATTTTCTCTTTATTTAGGCGAGAGCTGAAGAGCAATCCCGTTCGAGTAGGTCATCAAATCTTTGATTGGATTTGCTCTTGAAATAAGCCTTTGTTATTAGGAGTTATTCATTATTGATGAGATAAAATCTTGTGGTGGAAATGCTTGCCCTTGTTGACAGCTTAATGGAAATGTTCAGAATCAATCAAGCGCTTTGCAAACAAACTTCGACTCTGGTCTCACGGACTGAATTTGACAGAACAAAGGCAAACCTTTGTGGCATGCAGTCTATGTACCGTGAAAGACGTCAAGGTTGAAGAAAAATTCTTAAATAAATTTTCCAAATAAAGTTGAAAGGATTTGTAACGTTTTGTGGTTCCGATGTTAACACTTTTCAAGTGTTTCATGCAGATAAAGTTCGCACGATGTGTGCCAAATCTACGAACTGTATGTCTGTTTATAATGGGTTTGTGTAAATGCAAGCAAAGCTTAAAAGGAAAATTGAGCCTTTGGTGAAAGAAAGCCGACCTAATCAAACACAGATGGGAGGATAAAATTCTGTCTTGTCGCAAAAACTCTAACTAACGCAAGAAAAAAGCTATGTAAAGAATATTACTTGCTGCTTGCCTTGTTCAAGAAACTCCCGAAGTGAGAATTTGCCTTCAGGGCTTTGTTTCGTGGCCATCAGATCGAATTAAAATCAGCTTATATAATCCGTGTACTCATCTGCTGCTAATAAAAGCTGACAGGAGTATGTATTATGTGTAAATATACTTGAACTATGTAAAAAGCGCTGATCTCAATTCAATTTACGGAGAACTATGCCACATGATAAACACAGGCGTAATCCAAACGACCACGGTGAAAAGGGAAGCCATGGCAAACTCGAGGCGCGTGGACATTATGTTGGGCAAAAATTTCAAACCGGAAGGACAACCCGGCCCTTGCAAGCCTTACCTTGCATTTTCAATCGATAATATTTTGAGAAGAAAAGAAGAAACTTCGCGAAACACAACGTGTGTTGTCAACGGGAACAAAGCATACACAGCGAGATCTGAATTTGAAGACCTGCAAGAGAGCTATAAAAGAGGAATGGAAGATTCAACTAAAATTACCCATTTACCTTGGTTGGCATATACACGTTACTCACCTCCTAAACTTCCAAGTGAGTGTTATTTGCGCATCTATTTTTTTCTTGAAAAAACGTATCGATACCAACGCTGTTTTATGCTTTGGGAAATGGCGGAGACGAAGGAGGGTTACTAAGTGATTCACTTCGTTTGGCCATGTGGCCGACTATCAGAGCGATGGAAATATTCATTTATCTCCAGATAGCTAACTTATTTTGAAGTCTGATATAGATAATTAATTGTACTAAGGCATGCTTTGATAACAAAAAGAAGTGAGTTGTGCGCACTGACTTTTGTTATTGTACATGTCTAAGGAGAAACCTGTGAATCTTTTCCATTCGAAACTAGACAGCTTAAAAGCTTTAAAAAAAAAGGCAAATGAACTTCTTGGGTAACAACCCGCAAAGTTCAAAGGGAGGAACCTTTACCTCGTTCATAATAATTTTTGAACTGATATTACCGGCGTTCTCTTGTGGGTTTGTAATCTGATGTTTGTAACGGATAAACAAAAATTATACCAAGCAATTGGGATAAAGTTTGGTTTGAATCAGTTTGCGACTGACTACTTGAACATTGTACTCTAGCAAACTTGTAATGCCTATCTGTGATGAGTTTAGAATAAATATTACAGCATGCTGAAGTAAAGTCCTTGTTGTGCAGGGTCAAGGAGAAGACTTAACAACAGCAAACGTCGTTCAAGTGGTTGTCCACGGGTGCCATTCTCCACTTTACAGCTGATGACCTTAGAGCAGAAATATACAGAAAATCACTATCTCTCTGGATCACAAGTCACCGATCTGGCGCACAGCTTAGACTTACCACAGCATCGAATCAAGATTTGGTTTCAAAACCGACGGGCGCGAGAGAAACGAAACCAAGAGGAAAGTTCGATCAACAGGATGGAGGAGCAACAAACAAATTTCTCGCAACAGGTTGTGTTAAATACACAGTTAACAGCTTGTTATGTGCCTTCTCCGCTGACCTCAAACTTTTCCATGGACTGTTTTGGTTTAGGCGGCCACTCGCCGTATAAAATGCACAGGCCCGCAGCAATGGGTACCTTTCCTTTCAGCTGAAGGAACTTGAGCCTAAGCTTTGGACGATCATTTATGAAGCAAGAGTGTAAACCAAAGGCATACTCTTCTAGCTTTCGGCTAGTTAAACAGAATTTCATCTAATACTGCAAGCCGAAAAAACGTATCGTTTTTTTATCGATTTCATGTAAGTACGGTGTATTTTGAGATGGTACAGCTTCATTGATGCTACGTCAAGTTACGATTTTATTTGCGGTGAGCTGATCTGCGTACCTTGATTCGTTCTCATTCTTAGTTATTGTGCAATGATATGAATTAGGTAGTTCTCTTTTCATTTTGTGTAAAAATCTTGTCACATCATGTTCA